GCAATAAAATTAGGCTACAGCTCTAACTCGTATTTCACCTGCTTTTGTATGCTTTCCTCTTCCGTGTATCTCTCTTATCCTGTGATACCATCATGTGAACCAAGATACAGAACTCTGTGACTGCAAGGAAACTCCTTTGCACTACCATTTGGGGTCTTATTTTATATCTTGAATTATTATCATGTTCATTCTTTCTCTTTGTGTAGAATAGAGACAAGTGTTTGTTTTTCTTATTTTTGTCTATTGTCGTCTCTATTGTTGCTGAATTTTATTTCCTCTTACATTTCACCTTGTAATAGATTGTATTTCCTGGTCTTTTGTTAAAGCTAGACACAGTTTTACATTATTTTTGGGCTAGGGATTTAGCTCAGTGGCATAAGCACTTGCCTGACAAGCACGAAGTCATGAATTCAATCCCTGGTACCAAAAAATTAAAAATTAAAAACAGTTTACTTTGTTTTTATGCTAAGAGTTTGTTGTATTATTTTACATATTGTTGATCTTTGCTTTGGGATACAGTTATGTTACTTAGAATCAGTTTGATCTTTCTGGAGCTTTGTTAGTGCCATTCTACAACATCTTGGTTCTAAAGTTTGATTTGATTGCTGAAGTATTTATTACCTTCTCAACTGTACTTGATTTTCTTGTTGTCCTTCTGTTGTCCTTGTGATATAAATATGAACATGAGGATTGTTTTGACTATTCCTTTTTAGAAACTTTTTGTCCAGACACAACTTTTTTTGCACGCACAGATCATCCCTCAGTTTAAATGATTCTTCAGAGAGTTCTCTTCAGATCTTTGACACACTTTATCTTTGCTGCTTTCTTCTACTTGTTTGTCCTGCAAATTCTAGCTACCCTGGTATCTTTAACTTGGAATTTTTTAGACCATTGATTTAGCTTTATGAGAGCTTTGAGCTTTGATTATTTTGTTTTGTTTTTAATTTTTATCTTAAAGGAAATAAAATCAAAACAAAGCCAACCAAAACAGAAAATGAAAACATTACAGGACTTCAAAACAAAATAATGGGAAATCAATAATAGCCACTGTAATGTCCCTTGTTTTCTTCAAAATAGTTGTCCATACCATCATATACAATAAAATCATCAAAACTAAAAAGAATAAAACCGATCAAAACAAAATAATGAAAGCATTTTTAAAGAGAATAAAACCAAACAAGACAGAATAAAGTGAATCAAAAAAGCAAAAGACAATATAAGACTTCAAAACAGGACAATAGGAAATCAACAGTGGCTATCATAATGCCTTTTGTATTCTTCAGAATCATCAACAATAATCAGATGTAACAAAATTGAACAAAACAGAATGAAATTGATCAAAACAAAACATTGAATAAAACAGAACAAAACAAAACATCGAGAATAATACTAGATTTCAAAAACAAAACAAAACAAAAGGAAATCTCCCATATTTGCTACACTGCACACAGTTATCCTCTCAATTGATGCCCAGACCACTGGCTTCAAGCCTGCAAAGTCATGCAAACAACAGAAGCATTTAGTTGTTTTGGTACCTCAGATGCTATTAGCTCAGGCTGTTGTCTAATCAGCCAGTTGCTTATGGGAAGTAGGGGTGAGGTTGGTGTTCTTTATCTCCCAGACTGCATGCTGGTTGGCCTAGGGAAGGGAGAATTGGCTTCTCATTCTTCTTGTTACTCCTCCCAAGACCAGCATGGCTTCTACTAACTCACAGGAAGGGCAAATTTGGCTTGTTGTCTCCAGACCTACATAGCTTACACCAGGTCCTGGGAAGAGTGATTTGGCTTCTTGTTCTTGTTACTCCTCCCAGGGCGAATTTGGTTTGTTCTTTTCTTGGGATCCACATGGGTTGTGCTGGGCTCCAGGAAGGGAGAATTAGCTTCTCATTTTCTGGTTTTTGTTGTTGTTGTTGTTGTTTTGTTTTCCCTTTGTTATCAATCCTAGAACTATGTAAGTAATGAACTGGGAAAACTAATAGAACTCGCTTCATTTTCTTGATGCTTTCTGTCCTGAGATGACTGTTACTTACAACTGTTGTCTAAAAACCATTGTTAAACTACTTTTCTGGTAATTTAAGGTAGAAGAATAATTGTTCTCTGTTTCTGTCATGCAAGACATAACTTGCTTTGTAGAAAATTTCATTGTAATTTTACAAATGCATAGTTGTCTTTTTTGACTTGATCATTTGTAGGATTTTTCAGGAAAATGGTGATATGCCCAACTTGCAGCTTGCCTTTTTTGACCCCCTCTTAATGTTATAATAAAAATATTTAAAAATTTTTGTTACTTTAATTATGTATTTTATGTGCAGCCCAAGACAAAGCTTCTTAACTTTTTGTTTTTTTTTTTTTTTTTTGCCTTTTTCATTTTTATCGGTACCAAGGATCAACACGACCGCCTGCTTGCAAGGCAGGTGCTTATGTCGCTGAGCTAAATCCCCAGCCCCCGAAGCTTCTTAACTTTTAATGGGAGTTAGGAGTGCAAACTGGACATGCCTGGCATGCCTGTTCCTTTCCATGTACTCTATCCCATGTATATACTCCATCGTCTTTCATTTATTGTGCATTCATTCATTCATTCATTCCTATGAAGAGTATTGACACAAATGTATACATTTGTGCATTTTTATTTTTATTTAATACAGCATTTTTATTTAATACAGTGATGGTAGTGCTGACTTTTCATGGGTTTCATGAATGTTGACTTCTCATGGGTACTTGGAAGAAAATAAAGTGGTTTAAATCTTCCCTTTGTTTACCAAAGGAGCTATTATTCTAATATAGAATGTTAATTCTTATATTGACTAGAGTATATACTGGCTGTGGACTGAAACCAAAGGCCATAAAATATTTGCAGTTATTCCAAGAGGAGGAAAGAAGATATCATTGTATAAGAATTCAAGTCTCTCTCTCTCTCTTTTTTTTTTTTTTTTTTTGGCCTAATTAGGTTGTATTCTTAAAGCTGTTACAGCATTAAGGTATTGAAAATTACCTTGCTGTTTTTTTTTTTTTTTTTTTTTTCCTTTTAGGGCAGAATTATATTTATTGAGAAAAAGAAAGCTTCTGTCTGAGAGAGACCGACTGATAGTAGGGGTCCTGAGTTGATTGCCCCCTTGCTTAATTTTAGATTCTAAATACATCTTTTGCTGAAATTAGTAAAATACGCAGGCACATAAGCATTATTCAAGAAGGAAAATACTCTTACTCTGTTAGTAATCACTGAGATTTTGTACTGTTGTCCATTGAATTCAAAGTTACCTTCAATACATTAGTGTTGATGGATACTATTTCAAAACTTACTAAAAGGATTAAGGTTTTATAAATGCATAATAAGATAATTTTCTCTTATGTGACAGATAAAAGTTAGAGCCAGTGTATCACTTAACTATTCTTGAACATATAGTTCACTTGGTAGCCTTTCCTTTTGAACAATCCAATTCCTTGCCAAATGATAAGGATTACATTTATAGTAGTAAATATGGTTAAAAAAAAAAAGAAACTTTTCCCATGTTGTATTTGAGAGACATCTTCAATTATAAAAGTATATATAAATTGGATAAGAAGAAATTACAGTTTTATCAGAGTCAGGCATTTTGAAGTTTTTCAGTCAAACTTATAAAATGTAAGATGGTCAAAACTGAGTAGAACTAAATTTTATGATTAGATATATTAAGTAGGAACCAGAGGATAGGTTTTTATCATATGGATTCTTTTAAAAACTTGATCATTTTAGTGAGTTGTTATCCTTAAAAATGTTTTCTTCCCTTAACAAGTAGCTTTTTAGAGGTAGCACACACATATGCATAATTATCACCTTTAATACTGATTCATTGTCCTTATATATTGGATGTTTAATTATCTCCTCAAAATACAGTTCAAATATTAAGTAATCACTAAATTTGAATGTAAATCATAGTGGCTAGCAACATTAGCTCACTGAGTATGCATCCTATTCTTTTAGGGCAGATGTTTTACTGAAACTTAAGTAAAAGATACTTGTCTTGAAAACATTTAAAAATTATTTTTGGTAGGCACTCTGCTTGAATCTTTTGAACTTTTATTTTCATTATAGCATTTCTGGTGACTACCACTTATGCTTCACTGAATTTTCTACTTGAAGTGCACAAACTTTAGTCATGTTCTTTATCTCTGTTCTGGTTTGGAAATGAACTTTTTTAAAAGACTGGGCATGCCTATAATCACAGCACTCGGGAGGCTGAGGCAGTAGAATTGCCAGGCCAGGCTGGGCTACATAGTAAGTTAAAGACCAATTTGGACTCCATAGGAAGACCTTGTCTCAGAGAGAGAGAGAGGGGGAGAGGGGGAGATTGATATAACAAAAACCAATATCAAAATCTGAATTTTATTGGGAGTACACATGAACTAGAGGACTAAAGGACAAAAACAGACATGAAAGTGTTCGTTCTTTGTTGGAGTAAAGTTTAATGGAATATTGAATTAACATTTATTAATCATTTTAAAATATATAACACATTCCCATTTAGTGGCATAGGACTAAACAGAATGGTATGGATCAGTAGCTGTATAAATGAGTCATATCTGTATTATCCAAAACTTAAATATTTGGGCAAGTGATGTGTAGTTAAGTGTCTAACTAGTCAACTAGTTAAGTGAGTGTGAATAAATTGGATATTTAAGAGATTAACCAGTGATTATTTAAAAGAAAAGGTGTAATTGATGGGTGACCTATTATATTCACTTTAAGTTTTATCCTTGTGTATGATGCCTGGTGGACACTCATAATTAATTGAAAGTAGGAGTGAGAGGAAAGGTTTATTAATATTTAATAATTTTATCTCAAAGTATGTCCACCAGTCTAGCCATCCCTAATTGTTTAAGAGGACAGATGAGTTAGACTGTTTTTGTTTTAATTGTTTTTGTGTCTCTTAGTAGATATTTATATGCTGCTGTTCTTGTATTTACATGTTAGTAATTTTGATGGCTTTTGGATAATTCCACTCTAGAGGGAGAACTGGTGGGCGGTCCTTCCTGTGACACGACCCTTGAGTGACAGTTCTATTTGATTGCCTCCAGTACTGTGAGGAAAGGACACGACTCTATGGTGAGGACTGATGGACATACATTATCTGAGAAAAGAAACTACCAGGTAAGACTTTTTTCTTTTTCTCTATTGGTCATATAGTTAACACAGACTGTTTTAATGTTGTATTTTATTATAACTAGTATATTTCAGCTTATACTCAATTTGAGAAATTTTGATTAAATTTTAAGGATATTTATTGGATTTGATAGTTAATAATTGGAAACATTTTTCAAAATAAAGCATACTCATACATTTTTGGTGTCAAAATTTTTCTAATGTTTATGTCAAAACTCAGATTGATATATAGTTTGTGGCTAGATTCAGAGAGGAATAGTTCATCTAATGAAGTGTTGATTTTTTTACACATTCTTAAAAACCTTAAAACATTAGACATAGGCTATAACTTGCATAATAAAAGTACTACAGAAATATAGACAATTGGACAGATAGAGGAAAAATAAAAATGAGAGATCCAAGATATTTGTAGATCCAAATTTTGTGAAATTTTTATTACTTTGCTGTACTGACTATGCCAGATTGTTGTTCTCTCATTTAATAAGTTGGTTAATAGTATCCATCCCTTATGCAGTGTGTAAGGAAGTCGTAAAAATAGTTGAAACATTTCTGTTTGTTTTCAACTCCTTAGCAGGTGAATTCTAAAGATAGTACTCTTAAACTTTTTTTTTTAATGAATAACATATGAATTTAATTTTTTAAAGGAAACTTGCTTTACCATTGGTAGTTACATTTTTAAAATATATAATCTAGTAATACCGAACACAGAATAAATGAAGCTCAAGTAGAAATAAAAACCTTCCTTTCGCCTCACTCCACCAGTGTCATTCCTCAAGTATGAAGACAGTGGGCTAAGCCAGTCTTGGCTAAGTTTGTTATTTGTAAATCATTTGTTCAATTCTTTGTTTCCTTAAAATGGGAATATGAACAGAAAAGAAATTAGATTTTATGGTTTATAATAACAAAGTGTCTTTGATTGTAAGACCTGAGTCTTGGTTTTAGGCACTGTCCTCAATAGATACTTTAATACTTAATGTTCTTTGTATTTCACCTAACTTGATTATGAAGTTTCTTGCCAGGTCTTTATGATTTTAATGAGCCAGAGTAAGCAGGAACTATGCTGTTCTTTCTGTAGTTTTTTCTTCTGATTTGTCCTCAAAGGCTTGACTTTGATAATTTGTATTACAACCATCTTCTTGGGCTTTTGCATCTTTTGATGGGTTCTGCCAAAGTATTTTAAGAATTTTTTTATTCTAGGGACTGGGGATATAGCCGGGCAAGCACAAGGTCCTGAGTTTTATTCCTTGTTACTCCCCCCAACCCACCCAAAAAAGAAATTTTTGATTCTAGTTTATGTGGCATTTCAGTGTTCATAATACTGTTTGTAAAATGTAAGTGTAGACATTTTGTTCAATTTTGCAGTAGTTAATTTACCTCACAGAACCACATTCACGTAGAATTACATAATTTATACTTAAGAATGGAATAAAACAATTGTATTTCACACATAAAAAGATGGGCTTATTCTTGTTCATGCTATTACTATTATGTTAGTCACATTACTTATAATACAGATTTTTAAGGTTACCAGAAAAATATCTTTTGGGTAGTTTTGCTGACTGACAATAGTTTGCCTTTTCTTTTATTGTTGTATAATGATGCTTCTGCATTTTGAAATATTCTGATAACAGTTGTATAAATCTGGATTATAAAATTATTTTGAAGCCTCTGAAAAATGTATCTAGATATAATTTCTTGTTGAGTGTTAATGATAAATATATTAAGAGCATATGGGATTCATAGCATAATGTTCAAAAGGATGTTAACTCATCAAAGTAACATTTGTGTTTTAGAGACTGTGTAATCTTAGACAAAACTGATTTTAATTTTTAAAAATTCTATTTTGGAAGCATTTTATTTTTCATGGTTAAAGTGAGATTTTCTTTTAATCCATATTTAAAACTTTTTATTTATCTTTGAGGGCTTTAGCTTTTGGAGAGTACTTGATTCTTGAAGCATCCTGATAATGGGATAGTATTCAATGGGATAATATTTCTGAATATAACAAAAAGAATAGCAGTTCACTCATTTCCTTTTAGGCCTACCTAAAACCTCAGAATTAAAGCCTTCACAATTTATTAGTTCACAAAGGTACATGCTTTCTTAGCTCTCTGGTAAAGATGCTTTTCAGATTAACATGGGTTGAGGTACTGATTTTCATGGTGATACGTACTTTATATGTTTAGTTTCTCACTGCACATTTAAGCCCGGTTAGATATTTGAAGTTTAGATATAGTAGTTGAAGTTTATTTGCATACACAGGTTGGTATATGGTAAGACAATTAGTTAAATTGTTCACAGTTCATTAGTTCATTTGTTTTGAGAGGGTTACAAAGTTATTTTCAAAGAGATACAATCTTGTTTTTTGTTTCCCTTTTGTTTCTTGTTAGAATTTTCTTATCTTCCTTTACTTTGCTAATTTATCCTAGATATTAGCATGCTTAAATATAAACCATTTTAGTAATCTGTCTTACTGATCAGTGACTTTCTTATTCAAGCTCCTAGAGACCAGTGGTGGCTATAACCTATTGTACAAGTGCTGCAGTAGACCATTATCACTGAAAATTCTAAAAGGTTCACCGTCACATATCACACATAGTTTTATTGTGTTCTGATCTCCCATGGTGTTCTGTTTTGTTTTGTTTTCCAGTGTTTCTTCTGTTATTCCCAATAGTGAATTTTTCCATTTGGTTTTAAAAAACTGATTTTAGTTTCCTTGTAACATGCTTTTATACTTTAAGCTTTCACTTGTTTTGATTTCCTTCATTTAATATCTTATCTTCACATAGTTCAAGAATTAGATTGCAGTTTTTCCATAAATCATTCTGCAGTGGACTCCTGTTCCTTTCCATTGCTTTTAGTCTTTCTGCATACTTCTAGTGTAGTATTTGCCATAATAACATTGCAGTTCTCTGTTCGTCTTTGTCTCCTTATAGAACTATACTGACCTAATACTAAAGGCACTAGCCACAAATGACTACTTAAAGTAATATTAAAATTTTAGCTTATGAGTCATATTAGCCACATTTCAAGTGCTTAGTGGCTACATGCTGCTAATGCCTACCATATTGAACCATGTAGATCAGAATGTTTCCATCATTGCAGAAAATTGCATTAGACTACACTGCTGTATGTATTACACTTCTTAAAAAGTAAGACTGTATTTATTTTGATACTGCCCATACATAGCATAGTGCTTAGTATATAGAGATAGCTGCTCAATGCGTATTTTTCAGTAAGTGTAATTAAAACAGTGAAATAATGGAAAAGAAGAAATAGCGATATGTGCTGAATAGCCAATTAATATTTCTGAGGTATTTCACTCTTGTTGCTTTGAACAGAACTTTTCTTTCTTTTTTTTTTTTGTCTTTTTCATTTTTATTGGTACCGGGGATCGAACTCATGACCGCCTGCTTGTAAGGCAGGTGCTTATGCCGCTGAGCTAAACCCCCATCCCCTATGAACAGAACTTTTCAACATGAAGTCATTTCCTTTATATTGATTTGTTAAATCACAAAAGTAAAAACTGCCTCAATTGCAAAGATGTTGAAGAAAAATACAGAAGCTATAAAATGCAGTATAAAGCTCATTTTTCAACTTTACTGTTAAAGGGTTGATGTGTATCTTTTCAGAGGTACTAATGACTATAAGTGCAGATGTGATTTGTCTTTGTTTTTAACGAATGTATATTTTGCAGCTTGCTTATTATACCTATGGTGATATATTTAAAAGATGGTCCAGTCCATCCAAACATCTAAACACTTTCTCAGATACTGCATAAAGATTCAACATCTGTCTATTTACCAAAGATTTTACATAATACAAAGCATTGATAACACAAGTTACCTAATTATGTAACATGTATAAATGTACTAGTGGACGTGTTTCTATTTAGTATGTAATACTATACTATATACAAATTAACATTTTTTGTTTTATACTGGAGCAAAAATATGTGTAAATAAATAATAAAGTGTCACTTCCCATTTTTTGTACATTACATAATGTTGAAAATGTTTGTCTCTGTGCAGTCCAAGATGGGTCTCATAAGTTACAATATTTTAGTCATAGTTGTAGCTTTTGACTTTTATGGCTACTTTTCTTGTATGATTAAAAATAGTATTAGCATCCAATCTTAGAGTCTACAGCATATGTATTAAAGATACATAATAAATATAAAAACTTTCAATAATGGGGTATACTTAACAGCTGAAAATTTGTCAGGGCGGATCTGGCGCCCAGAGAAAATGGAGGTTGGAGTTATTGTTGCTGTTTGGCATTGAGTGAAAGTGCCTGATTGCAGAAAGGAGTTTTAAAAGTGCATGTCTGAATCCAGTGCACTGGTTTACAGTTGTTTTCTCTTTCCTCTTAAAATTCTTGAAATCAACAGAGGACTGTGAATTATTGTGTCTAACCAGGTGAAGAGAAAGGTAGTAGAAAAAAAAAAACCTTTCAGAATGGATGATTTACGTTTCATTCACTTAGAGTAGTGCTGCTAAATTGAAGTTGCTCTTCTGATTTATTTTGTAATGGGATGCAAGTTTGACTAAGACCCTTGCTTTATGACATCCTTTAGTATCTTGATAAATTTTTTCCTATAGTTCCTCTAAGCCAGAAGAACTTCTGCCACGTATTTAGGCCAGGTCATTTATAGTAGTAGTTGACATGATATCTGACAACTGCTACTGTTTTCCAAGAAGATTTAGAATAATCTGGTGGTACCCTTCTGTGTTCCCTAGGCTACTTTTGAGAATTTATGCCCTGGGTTTTATGCATAAAATATTAAGTAATCTCCTTCAGTAAAGTACTTTACTTATAAGTCGATCTACTTCAGTTATGAATATGGAATGCATGTACTCATTAAATTGAAAAATTAACATTGCTACAGATACATCTGTGAACCAGAGAAAATGCACAAGCAAGTAAACTTATCTTTTAAAATACTATCAGAGACCTTACATGGCAACTTTTTTATTTTTAGTCTTTTG